TATGCTTCAGCAATTACCATTCCAGTCTACAGTGTCTCTGAAAGGTGAAAGTAAAATCTTCTCAGTGGGCAGAACTTGGAGCAGTACTTCTGTCTACTTTGTCTAGGTAAAGAAATGTCCATGGTGTAGATCTACAGTATTTCATGGGCAGTGACTAATGGATTGGCCAGGGAATCAGTCACTTTGAAAGAATGAGATCAGAAGACTAATGACAAGGAGATCTGGGGCAGAGATATGTGAATGGACCCCTCGGGATGAGCACAAAGTATGAGGATATTTGTGTCCCATGTGATGTTTATCAAAGGGCAACCACTGTGGAGAAAGCCTTCATTGATCAAATGGACAGGTTGACTCATTCTGTAGACATCAGTCACTCTCTTTCCCTAGCATCCCAGTGCTTGCTCAGTGGGCTTTTCTACAAAGCAAATATGGCAGCAGGGATGGAAGTTATACATGGGCTCATCAACATAAAATTTCTCTCACCAATATTGACCTTGCTGTTATCACTGCCAAGAGCCTAACCTGCTATGAACAGAGATCAATGCTGAGCCACCAGTAGGGCCTCACTTCCTGGGCGATACCAGCTGCCTAGTGGCTAATCACATTGGATCTCTTCTCTAGTGGAAGGGCCAGCAATTTGTCTTCATAAAATACTTATTTTGGATATGAATTCCTATAATACTACCAACCACAATATTATAGACATTGTGAGAGCACAATATAACTTTTTTTTTTTTAAGATTTTATTTATTTGACACAGAGAGAGAGACAGCTAGAGAGGGAACACAAGCAGGGGGAGTGGGAGAGGGAGAAGCAGCCTCCCGGCTGAGCAGGGAGCCCGATGTGGGGCTTGATCCCAGGACCCTGGGATCATGACCTGAGCCAAAGGTAGATGCTTAACGACTGAGCCACCCAGGCGCCCCCACAATATAACTTCTAAATGAAATATTTATTTCACAATAAAAGAAATGTAGCAATGAGCTCATGACTATGAAATTCATAGGTCTTTCCATGTACCAAATCACCCAGAAGTTGACTAGCTTTATAAAGTAATATAATGACCTACAAAAGACTGTTATTTGGCCAGCTGGGAGACAAAACTCTGAAAGGTTGAGGTGCTATCATACAAGATAAAAAAAATACTTTGAATCAGTGATCAGTATAAGATGTATTTGTCCCACTGCCAGAATACAAGGGTCCAGAAATCAAGGAATAACAATAGGATGGATTTCTGTCCATATTATATTTAATAATCCACTCACAGAATTTTTTATTCCCATCTCTGTAAACTTGGGCTATGCTGGTTTGGCAGTTAGTTCCCATGGAAAGAATGTTTCTACCAGGGCACACAAAATGGTTCAAATGAATTAGAAGTTGAGATTGACACTTGAATATATTAGGCTCCTTATGATACTAAACCAACAAGCAAAGAAAGAGGTTCCCATAATGGCTGGGGTGATTGATCCTGATTATCACAGCAAAATTGGGTTACTGATACACAATGAGGTCAACAAGAACTATGTCAGGAGCCCAGGGAATTCTCTGTTGGGTTGCCTCTTAATATTTCTTGTTCAATAGTCACAGTTAATAAGCAACTCAACTACTGAGGAGTTAGATCCTTCCAAAATGAAATTTTGGCCACCATACTAGGTAGAGAGCCTTGACCAGTGAAAGTACTGACCAAAAGCAAAGAATGGAGTAGAGGAAGAAGTTATAAATATCAGCTGTAGTTTCCTGACCAGTTGTAGAAATAAGTACCAAAGTACTCATGAAAATTTGTTTCATTGCTTGTTCTGTATATCTTTGTATATATTAACTATTTTTCCTTCCCTCTTCCCTCAAGTTCTTCCCTTTCCTTCCCTCAAGTTATGTAAGAGATGGTGGTGGTGGTGAACTTTACAGTTTCATCTTTGGGTTTACAGAATATCCAGGGGGAATTGTGGAATTGTAATTGAACTAGAATTAACACCAGTGAGTATAATAGTAACTGATGGGACTTTAGTTCTCCCCCTTTGGGGGAAAAGGTGAAAATCTCTTCTTTTGTACAAAAAATAGTTAAATCTGCATGGATGGAAGCATAATAATTGTCCAGAAATTTAAATATGGGTAGGGAGTATGTGGGAATGCTTAATAGCTAAAAGGGAAGATTGTGCTGGTTACTTGCTATAGGTACTCGGGTCTCTCACCTCTCACTTCACACACACACACACACACACACACACACACACACACACACACTCCCTCTCTCTCTCTCTCTCTCATCCTCCTATATTCTGTGGTTCTTCTGGGTTGGGATATTCAAACTACATCTCCCAGACTTCTTTGCCAGGTGGATTCCTGTTGGGTTTGGTCAATAGGAGGAACTGCTGGAAGATCTGAAAGCAGCACAGGTACCAGCACCGTGATAGTTGTTGGCATTTGCTGTAGTGGTACCAAGTGGCAATTCCAACAGACAAAAGATAGTACCTATCAGCAGCTTTAGCTCTGGTCCAGGCAGCACCATGTGAGCAGATCTGGGACCAATTACAACAGCAGGTACACACTCTTGGCAATTTCTGAACTCTGACGGCATCACCCTCCCCTTTTTCTTTTCTGTCATCCAGTCCCGTTCCTTTTCCTTTTTGCTCTTCCAGCTTTCTAACCAATTCCTGTTTTAAATTCAGTTTGAAATACCTAAGCTGGTTTCTAATTTTCTAATTGGGCTTTAACTCATTAACCAGTCCTTTAATTTTTATATTTTTCAGTTCTAGAATTTGTTTGTTTTGTTTTTTTGTTTTGTTGTTTTTCAAATACAAATATACCATATCACCTTTTACAGTTTCTAATACCAGTTCCAAGTTTGGCTTTTGTCTACTAGAACATACTAAGCATAACTGTTCCATGATCTATGTCTAATAATTTCAGCATGTAGAGTCCCTGTGGGTCTATTTCTATTGTCTGTTATTTCTGTTGTTTCTCCCTGATAGTATCTTGTCTCTTCATGAGTCCAATTATCTCTGATTATTTGTGGGATATTGAATTTTAAAATTACTCATAGATAAAATTTGACACCTAGGATAATGTTATCTTCCTCCAAAGATTTGGAGGATATGGGGGCATTAGAATCATGGACTACTTTAATCCAAATTCAAAGTTTAAGACTTTCTGGACCTAACAGAATCCTCAAAGTTTAGCTATAGTACTAGGACAATTAGTTTATTTATACTTCAGTCTTACTCTTACAGTGTAGTCCTTCAGGGGTCCCAGCCCTTGGCCTCACCTCTTCTTTCTTCCAGAAGTCCTAATTATCTTTTCATAAGTACCTCAGGCTGAAAAGAAAGCATCAGAGTTTGAGGCAAAAATATCAATGGAAACAATTCTCTTCTTCTAAAGTTAATAAAATACCAAAAAGACTCTTAAAGACTTTTTGCATATAATTTTAAATTTTCTTTTATTCAGAGATGGTCAAGTTAAATTTATATAAGTCTCTAACACTGTCAAGGTTAGTTTTGCATTCTGATGTGTATATTTGTGAAAGACTCAGATGTAAACATCCAAGAAAGTAATCATAACCAATACTTTTTAAACACAATTTTAGCAAATAGAAATTTAATTAATTTGGAGAAAGTCACTACCAACATTCAGTTTTGCCTGATTCAAGTTCTTCTCTAGGGGTAGAGGGTCAAATCTGAAGACAAAAGTTTGGAGGAGAACCACAAAGCATGGTATGGAAAACACCTGAGCAGAGAAGATTCAAGGTAAAATAAAGGACTAGCAGTTCTGTTGTGATAAAATTCAGACCAGCCCCCTACTACTTCTACTGTGACAGCCTCGATGGCAATAACTTTTAATCTCCTTGCTTAGTAAATCAAATGAAGCAGTAATAATGACCAGCCCCAAATTTTCAAGCCTATTTTCAGTTTAGCATACCAGTAGCCTAGCTTCTCCTTGCCATATGCTGTTCCCATAGAACAACCTAACTACATTTACCAGTTTTCCAAGAAAAAATCATAAACACCCGGGAATGAGGTAAAAGGAACCAAAAATCCTCTCATTAGAACCCCATAAGATGATCAATAGGTAGGTATAATTTAATTATAAGAGTGCCTGAAAGTGAGACAATCAGATTGAACCACCATGGTCCCAGAGAAGCACTGTCAAGAAACACTACCCACATGCTGCAACGTTTCCTCACTTATGTCTCCCATCAGCTATGATTTTATAATGATACCACTGTACTTCACAGATTGCAAGGAGAGGGATTTGCGTGGCCTTTCCTCCATCACTTGGCCCCTTACTTTGGAAGCACAGTTGGCTTTATGAACACAAATATCCTTTCTCAAACATAAATGCCTCCTTACACTTTTGTTACAGATTGTAATACAAGCTTTCATTTTATGGCTTCTACTCTCCTTGGGTCATAATAAATATATTTTAAGATTATCACATTTTAACAGATTTCCTAAGAAATAAAAAATAGTATCTCTATATCATTTCCTCCATCCAAACAAGTCAAGTTCATTTTATGTGAAACATTTCTCCCCTTGTAAAACCAGAAGCTAAGTTTTCCCAAAAATTATTTTAAGGCACACCTGGGTGGCTCAGTTGGTTAAGCATCTGACTCTTGATTTTGGCTCAGGTCATGATCTTAGGGTCGTGACATCAAGCCCCACGTTGGGCTCTTACGCTGAGCATGGAGCCTGCTTAAGATTCTCTCTCTCCCTCTCCATCTGCCCCCGCAAAAAATAATAAGAATTTTAATTTAAATTGACTCTCTAATCCTACAACTAACAAGTACCATGCTATCTAGGACCCCAAAGAAAGTGATCAAAAATCACATTCTATAGAACTTCTTTGGTTTGTATTTAAACTAACAGTTTATGCACTTTCACAAAGAAATCAGTGTTATATTTTTCTTAACATTCAACTTAAAACATCAGACATAATAAGCTGAATGGGGGAAAATCGTGATCAAACGCTAAAAATGTAAACATGAAAAAAAGTAAACATGAAAACAAATCTTTAAAAAAAAAATTCATTTAATTACAAGAAAATTGGCCAGAAAATTGCACAGTTCCAAACAAATCCTCTATATAATCACAAGGGCTCATTTACCATCATCATTTTATATTTATCTTTCAATAACATTCCATCTATTGAACCTAGCCTTTACTGGCAAAAATTAGAATACATGGGTGTTTTTACTGTTTAATAGTCCATAAACAAAATGGGCTTTTTTTTCCTGAAGTTAGAATGGTGTCTATCATTTTGCTTCAGAGAAACTTTAAAATTGTTTTCTTATGAGGATTTCAATTAGCCATTCCCCAAACCCACTGTAAAACACAAAACAAAACAAAACACCACTGCTGTCTTACTAAGAGATTCCTGTCTTTCATTTCATTTTACCAGCCCGAGCACAAATTCAGAGAAAAGCTTCTTAAGTCCTGCAGTTTCAAATTCCTTTTGTAACTCATCCAACGATGAATACTCTTTGACTTCAAATGCCAGAAACCTGCATTATACAAGAGAAACTCATGAATATGCCTAGATTTGTCAGAGTATAATTATCGATTCAGTTACTTTTCCATCTGCAATAGTAGTAAATTATACCTTTTGTGTTCTGTCTGTACTTTTGTTTCAAACAGTACACTAATCATTTTCTCTTTGCATTTCTTTCCACTTGAGTCCACATCTACTTTGGAGGTTTTCTGAAGAATCAGGTACTCCTAAATGATAAATCAGTACATTAAATACATATCTTACTCTGAATCTCCAAGTCCTAGTTTTAAAGGAGCCAAGAACCTGCAGGCTTATTTTCCTACAGGCTTATTTTCCTGCCTAGAGTACTCTCTTTCTGAATCCAGCAGTAAGAGGGCTACAGTGTCTTCCTATACCAGGCAGCAGAATGTGTTGGTAGAAGGTTTAAATCTGGACTTCGAGGCCAACTAGATCTGATTCCAGGCTAAGCCCTCTGTGCCTCAGGAACCTACTCCACAAAATGGTACTCAGAACGGCACCTACCTTACGGGAAGCTGTGATGATTAAATGAGTTAATACATGCAAAGTGCTCAGAGGTCAGCCCGGCAACACATTGCTATGGCACAATTAATAGTACCAGCTAGTGGCAGTATTATGACTACTTTTGTGTCTGAAAGAACTTAACAGGCACACAGCACTGACCATTCCAAATTGGATGGCATCTATAAATATGTACCTGAAATTCTCAATCCTGATATATAATCTTAAAAAATTTAACAGAGATATTTACATTAAATGGCACTTTAGGGAAAGCTCATAAAAAGGAAAAAACTCTTTAAATAAAAAGTATTAATTTTGCACATTAGCAAAGTTCTAGTCATACGAGTAAGTACTTGTTAATTAATTGATGGATCCAACCTGAGTAACAACATTTGCAAAACAACTGCACTTAGCCTAACATTCCTGAGCTGGCTTAAAGAAAAATCTGAGCCTTTTAGGGAAATATGAACAAGGAAATTAATTGGTATTCATTTTGTCAGCCAGGAGTTTACCCAAAATGTCAAATTTTATAGATATACTATAGATCACCTTGCAATATCTGGTTCTTTGGTCAGACCTCAAACCAAGATTTAAATTAAACTTTAATTATTTGTGGTATCTATATGCTACAACGCCAGCACTAATCTGGTGAACCAAATGCTAAATAAGTATTGTGAGAAGCGCTCATCCTGAAAAAGCTAGGTAGTTATTCTACAAATCTTTCAGATTATAGGTTGTGCAAGCTAAGTCTGTTTTGAATAAATTCAATTGTAAGTATTCTTGACCCAACCCATTTGAAAGCATAAACCTATTAAGTGATTTGTAGCGCTTTCAAGATTTAAAATATTAATAAGCAGCTTTCCTCGTCTGGTCCCACATAAAACAGGTTAGATGAGTTGAGCATGCGAACTTGGAGAATCTGAAGAAGATGATGATTTCGAAAGCAGCTGCTGAGACAAGTCAGGTGGAAAGCAAAAGTTAGGTAGGAGGTGACAAGCTGACAGCCTAAGGAAGCTACCTCTTCCACTAACACTAAATCCTGGTTACGAGGGACCAGCTCCGCTTTCCAGGTGTTAGAGAAGCCAAATTAAAGTGTCAGGATGTGTTTTTAACTGCCAAAAAGTTAAAACTTTTACACACTACCCACAAACAGACACCTTGCTGTGCCTGAGGGATGAGATACAAATATGCACAAACTTTTAGTGCACATTTACAAAGTTGAGGTGCAAAGCTAATTAGAGAAACAAACATTCACATACCACAGAGATTTTTTTTTAATGACCTATCCCTTTCATTATGTGGAATAATTTTTAAGATATAATTTACTTATTCTTCAAGCTTTGCAAGTTTGTAGATGTAATTAGGAAATAGAGACATTCTTTAAAAAATGGAGATCCATTAACATCTTAATGATTAATCTGTCCCATTGTCACAAAACACACTTACAGACACACCATTTTAGCAGAAAATAGCCAAATTCATATTCAACATTAAACTTTTTGGCACCTTGATATTGCTTCTGGCTCCTTGTAGTAAAATCAGTATTATTTTACCCAGGAACATCAGTCTTCCTGTCAGCTTTAAATCGGAAGCCCACTTCTCAACAGTTTTGACATATTTGGTCTTTGCTCTCATGTGATCTAAATGCACAAGAGTTAGCCACAGTCCATCATCCACAATCGTGCCTGTTGCAAAAGTACACTTTGCACTGCCACTTCCAGTGTCTGGTTGGTTGAGGACGTGCCTGAGATTCTGCTGAATCCAGAGAACCAGCTCGTGAACCATAGGTTCCGACAAAAGGTTCTCTGCTTGCTTAAGTAACTTCTCTTTCACAGTCACGGACTGGGCCCGGGTCAGGTGTTCGGAGTGAACCGAGATACCAGGTAGACACGAAGGGTAATTGAGTGGCAAATGGAACACCAATTCTAAAGGTACATCCGCACCCGTAAGTCCTTCAGCTTTTGTGAGAATTCTGAACACGGTCCCATCTGTCTCTGGAAAGCATCCAAAAATAATGATTAGCTATACATAATTCGATTTGAATGGCACACTAAGAAGTTAAAATTTTCGTTTCCGATGTCAATTTATGTTTCATGAGAAAACTGGAGTTACTTTACAATGGAGACACATAATCCCAAGAGAGCCCTGATTTACAGATTATCTCCTTCAACCATACACATATACTCATGGAATCCTGTATCCCAGCACCCAGGGCTTCTGTGGCATTTACATTCGCCATTGCCCCATTTTTATTCAGGTTTACCAGAATGGCTTCTCATCACACAATTTTTTTCTACCCTCACTTAGTTCTAATTCTGGAAACTCAAAATAAACTCACATGAACATTCAGAGAAAGAGTGTTGCATATCTATAAAATCAGTGATTAATTTAAAAGTTACACAGCGCGTCCAAGGAAGGTCATCGTGTTGCAAAACCAAGTCAAAGCAAACACTGGAATGCTGTGTGGCTGCAGGGCCCGAGAAACTGATGACTGTGCATGAGACAGTAACTGCCTGGCCCGCTCTTTTCTGACTTCAAATGTATTAGTATCAGTGTAACATGAAGGTAGCAGGATGAACTAAAATGGGACGGACATCAATTCAGCCCTCTCTAGCTCCACGAGGAGGAGGAGGGAAGCACACACAGGCTAGGAGATGAAACACTGCTCCCTTTCAGATTTGCTCGACTTCACCCCTCTGATGTGTTCCACACCGCTTCACCCCACTTTTCAAAAAGTTGATAAAACGTCAGGCTGATTCATTCTGCAGGGGGCAGAAGCACACAGATCAGAAGAGCAGAGTAGAACAGAACTGGGTGCAGACGAATCTCTTTGAAGCTAACTTGCCTCTCTCTACCCCTACTTCTTTCACCACATGCCCTTGTTCCATCCTCCTTCACGAGAGAGGCAGGCAAACCTTCCTCATTTTCATACCTGGATTGCTGCTCAATAGCCTCAACAACTGGAACCTGACTGTGTCCCCCTTGAAAGAACCAAACAGAACATTAATATGGCTGTCTAGCCATCTGATTCCATTTATATAAAAGCTCTTGTTACAGATGTTGATTCACACGGGACCAAACACATATGCTACAAAAAGGTTTTTGTTGTTGTTGCTTTAATAGACTCTTTGGTATCAGATGCAAAGTACTACTATTTTAAGACACCACCCTGAAACACAGATAGCAACCATTATGAAGACCACATTAAAATGATACAACTAAAATGTGTTTACATGAGTAAAATGGGTACTGTATAAAGAAAAATTTTCCAGACCTAATTTAGTACATTCCTCTACAATCCATCATGTTTCTCAAAACCCTTCTTTCTTCCACCCAGTTCCTTATTTTTTTAATATTTTATTATTAAATAGGGTCCCTATATGTCAGTTAGATCAGTACACTTCACTATGTGAAATGGGCACCATAAATACCTACAGACAACATATGACCAATAGGCTGAATAAACTCTCCAGAAATCCTTTAGGGAGCCCACTTTCTCCTTCATAGGGGAGGCATAACTTCTGAAGAACTTCATATATTCATATTATTCATCATTCAACGAACATCACATCTCTTAAAATCTGTCTTATGGTTCCCATGGTACTTTGAACTTATTTCGTGGTACTTTCATACCAGAACTATTATGGTTGAACCTAATGAACTATTTTCTTCACCACTGGAATATCTCAAAAGTTTCTTTTTAGACAACAACCAAGAAATAATTTTACAAGTTATAAGAAACTTTTAAATTTTACAGTTAAACAGTCTGAGCACTAGCTTGTAACCATGGGGCTCACAGGTACAGAAGTCCTTGCTACCTGTGATAGGCTAAAAAATGGCCCCAAAATGTGTATGTGCTAATCCCCAGAACATGGCAAAAGTGCCTTTGCAGATGTGATTAGGTTAAGGATCCTGAGATGGGCCCTAAACGTAATCACAAGTGTCCTTATAAGAGCAAGGCAGAGGGAAACTGTACCACAAAAGGCAATGTAATCAGTGAAGTCAGATGCCATGCTATTGGCTTTGAAGATAGAGGACCATGAGCAAAGGGGTGCAAGAATTCAGCTCTAGAAGCTGGAAAAGGCAAACAAGTGGATTCTGCCCCTAGAGCCTCCAGAGGGACCACATGCTTTCAGCCTGGTGAAGCTGATTTCAGACTTCTGACCTCCAGCACTACAAGAGAAAGAATGTCTGTTATTTTAAGCCACCACATTTTTGGAAATTTGTTATAGTAGCCACAGGAAACTAATATAGTACTTGTGTCCACAAGGCAAGCTTTTCCCTTCAAGCAAGAATCCCTTTCTGATCAAAACTCTGAAACCCACAGTGTTCTCCAATCTCTGCCATATAAGTACCCACCTATTCCTCCCCAGTGCAGGTAACCAACTGACAGAAACAGGCAGTCCAGGGAGAAAGTATGAAAATGCTATTGAGCTGGCCTTTCAAATCCTGATGAATTTATATTTTTCTCTCTTAGTGATTTTCTGGTCCTAGTCAGCAAATAGAAAACAAGGGAGAGGGACACCTGGGTGGCTCAGTTGGTTGGGCGTTCAGCTCTTGATTTCAACTCAGGTCATGATCTAAGGGGGGGTGGGATCAAGCCCTGTGTTGGGCTCCATGCTGGGTGTGGAGCCTGCTTGGGACTCTCTCTCTCCCTCTCTCCACCTCACGTTCTTCTCTCTCAAAAAAAAAAAAAAAAAGCAATGGGAGAAATCTTTACTTTTGCCTTAGAAAATTGTAAAATTATTAGTTATATGTTTAGAAGAAAAGTTGCTTTGATTTTTTCAAGAATTGGGAAGGATTAACATTCTTCCTAATTGGTCTTCTCAGAGACAGCGACTCCCTGCCCATTCCCCCCCACACACAGACACACACATACTGGGGCTGCAAACTAAAATTACACAAAATGATGTTATCGCTATAGGAAAATGAAAAGCCCAACAACAACCCCACTCTGCTGATATTTAATGTGGTAATAAAATTATACATTCTTTTAAAAACTCATTTTCTCCCTAAAACTCCAGAAGTATGTATATTACCCTGCTTTCACATCTGCTTTAGTTTGTACATGCAATTAAACTGGCTCTCTCTCACGTCAGAATTTTTTATATAACCACATGTACCATCAATCTGATTTTTTCATTAAAAAAAAGATACACAAAAAAACAAAGTTGCCTCTATCTGCTTTAAGACTATTAACAGCTTAGAAAGAGTGATTAACAGAAAAATAATCTGCTCTAAATCTCATGCTAATCTTTGCCCCTCCCTGACCTCAAAAAACTCATTATTAAGTTTAACTCACAAATTCATCATTGTCAATAAACATCTATGCCCCAGAAAACTTATGCTTGCCCTAGAAAACTAAAATTTTCCTAAGTTCCAAGACTATTTTAATCCAAAGATCCTACCAAAAGATGTAGGCCTTGCCCCGGTTGAAATTCACATAAAAATTCCCTAGTTGTTTTTTTTTTTTTTTAAGTCACCCTGCCTTATAATAAGTGTATCAATTTCATAAATAAAACACTAACTAAAATAGGTTTCAGATCTTGTTCTTCCCTATAAGTACATGAAAGAAATTATACACCTAACAACACACCAAACAACAAAGTTTCAAACTAGAGAAACTGAACTGAACCCCAAATTCCACAGCAGTGTTATTTTTAAGGATTTCCCCTATTTCATAGTCACACAATAGGAACTTAATGAATGCTGTCCAATAACAGAAGACATTGGAAAATGTAAACAATTTAATAGAATGAGTTCTTCAAGATTTATTTAGAGCCCATTAAGAAGCCATATACAACTGACTTTCCTTTTACTTGCTTTTTTTTTTTTTTTCAATTTTTAGATATCTTCAAAGTAAGCCTTTGTTCAGAAAACCAAGAAGCAGCACCCAATCCCCTCTTGTACTTCATTGCATGGGGCTTTCTTTCCTCTTCCTCCCGGGCAGCTCGCCACAAGTATGCATCCACTCGTGCTTGTTTTTATGCTACGGCTGGATTTTTATATGTGTTTAAAATGTGGTTAGAGAAAAAAAGCAAAAGGAAAACTAAAAATAAGTGAAGCTAAAAGTGGCAATCCCATCCTTTAGAAGTCAAGTTCAAGGCTGAATTGGTTTTACAGAGGTGAGCACAGTACTGACAATCAGCAGGAAACAGCTGAGCAGATTTAGAGGGGTCAGTGGGTGACAGTGATGATTCATTTAGCAAGAGGGCCCAATCCAATCTGAACATGAGTGTTAGCAGAAGACAAAAATTCACGCTGAAGCTACTGTGCAAACATATTATATATTGAGTCTTATATACCTCCCATTTTACAACTTTTTGATCCACAAGATAATTTCCAGAAATACGACTCCACATAGAATGAGCACTGACGACAGCAATATAATCTGTGACCCTTAACTATCTCATCAGGAAAATAAGGATTTATAACAATATCAATTTCATCTATCTGATAGGTGTGCACACATATGAATGCCCACACACTCCCCTTCAAAATTACTCAGAACGTAAGTTGGGTGAGACACATCTCCTTTCTCTGGGTGCTCATTATTGCTCTTTCACAAGTATTATCCTTGCTAAGAATTCTTTTCCTCATGCAGCAACCCCATCTCTATCTAAGTGTCCATACACTCTGGTGTCTGGTAGTTACTTAACCAGCCTGAGCATACGTTAACTTCTCTATAAAACAAAGCTAAGAGTACCCCTCACCAAGTAAGATGCATTTGAAGTATGAGGTACATGGAAGGTGACCCCATTAAACCTGGCACCTGGCCTGACTGCACTGTACAGGGAGGGGTAGAATATTTCTGATTTGGTCTACCCACAGCACTCCATAGTAGACAGCAGTGTGGGGGTTTACATCATTTGCACCCTTAAGAGATAGTTATACCTGATGCTTCTTACTATGAGCTTACTATAACCACTGTAACGAGGCCATGTGCTTAAGTCCCCTGAAATTCCCAGCACAAATTAGCCCAACCTAACTGATT